CAGCTTAAGGGATTCTTGAGTACAAAGCCAGGACATCAGAATGAGATTTTTGGATTGGCTATTTAGCTGCTAAAAAAAAAATCCAGACTAAAACAGACAAACTTGTTCAACTGTTGTTTCATAATGGGAAATAATTTTAAGCAATACCATTTTTTCCCTAACAGAATTACCATACAATTCCATAATCACCAAAATATCAAAATAATACTCAAATGTATATTGCACCCACAAACGCTATGCTGTCATGCTGTGTAAATGTGTCTCGTCTTCATGAAGGGCGTATGATCTGGTGATCAGACAGGCTAAAGGACCTTCTATTTAAATCTGCAACACAAATTGTGTGCAGTTGTAACACACCTTTCTTTTGCGTTTTGTTATACATTTGCTGCTATAAATGAAGAGATCCTGTTTGCTAACCACTCCCAGATGATCCTTCTGTTTAGCTCAATTTTTAAAGGGCAAAGTCATTGAAGCAAAATCTCATGCACTTTACAAAAAGACAAGATCAGCAGAGCATTAAAACACTAATGAGTGCTGGACTTTTGGTGATAAAGTCTTGTCGAGGGTATATTCCTGACTAGTATAATGACACTAGAAATCTGATTTCACACACTGACAAAATGGATGACACTGTCAAGAACACTGCAAAGATAAATGAAAGCTTAAAATTACATTTAAAGAGGTTGCCTGGCAAAGTCACTTAGAATCCATGCGAGCATTTCACATCTGTGGGTTCTAAGGCTTCTTTGAATGGAAATGAGCATTGCACATCGCAAGTAGGAAATGCACATAGATCCAGCGTTCATCCCCAAACCTTAGGTTAGTAGAGACTGTGATTAAAAAGGAGCAGAAGGGAAACAGAGAAAAATTCTAATAAAGATCATATGAATGTACCATGTAGTCTGTACCATTTTCTTGCAGCAACCAGTGTTCTTTTCTCTATAATACACAGTGCGGGCTTCTCTTTAGCTAGAAAAAGATGAGTGCTTGTTTTAAATTGAGTCTCGAAACCGCCTGCTCACTCCCATGAGTTTCTGAATATGCCAGAACTTTGGAGTCTGAAATTATGTTCCAAACTAGAACTTCCCCCTGTTTCCAGACATCCAGATTTGGCCAGTTTGAAAAAGATTTGGCCTGCAATTGCAAATCAGGGCTTTTGATTTGGGCCTGTCTCTGTTTTAGAATGCAGGAAACAAAGGTTCGTGAACCAGAAAAACAATTGGGCACGTTCACAAAATCTTGTATCTCCTCAAGGTTAGTCTGTCCCTACTAAGAATCCATCAAGGTTTGTCCCAAGTTGAGCTCTTTCCCATTTTCATGCCAAATCAAAGATAAACATATCAGCTGCTCAGAATTACAAGGATATCTGGGTATATCTCACTTAATCATTTTCCTGTCTCGGGCACAGGTGCACCTCGGTCCCTCCCATTCTCTGCATGTGGCACATAATCATCTAGCCTTCTGTGGGCTGTAATATTTTGGTCTAATTTCAGCTATTGGGGTTAGTGTGTAGGTGCTGGCTGGTGTTGGTGGCCTGTAGTATACAGGAGATCAGACAAGAACACCTGGTGGTCCCATCTGGCCTTAAACTCTATGATGCTACAACAATATTCTCAGTGCTGCTGTAACCCACGAGAGAAAATCTAGGACAAGCACCTCAGGCAAGACTGATTTTCATGCCGGGCTTTTATTCTCTCTACCGATTGAAGAATGGATAATCAAGCCTGTTTTGGCAGGTTGGTATTTACCAGGAATATTAATGATGTTTAACATCTCAAGAATGATTTGGTGCAGTGTGGGTGTTTCAAACGCACCTGAGTTAGGTTGATAAGTCCCACTGAAAGTCGACTGGACTTGTTCTAACTTCCCTAGGCACTTTTGAAACCCCACCCTTAAACTGTGCAGCTCCTGTTAGAGGTGTGGTTAAAACAATCCGGAGGCCACTCCCAGGATCAGAAATATGGGCTCTTGTCCACTAGGTCCAGAGTTCAGTCTATGAGGTTGTGACTCATCTTCCCTCTACTCAAAAAATGTAATAGGGAGGGCAGTTTTTAGATCTGCAGGCTGAGTTTGGTGAGATTCTTCAGGGAATATGGCCACAGCCAGCGTGCACATTACTTGCTGCCATTCAGGTTATTTTTGCAGCGCTCTTAATCAGCTGGAAGCAGCTTCTAACGATGCTGGCATGGCTGCGACACATCCTGCTACTGTATTATCTCTGCCTATCCCTGGGGTAAGGCCCAGCTGCAGGCCTGGTGACATTCTGTCTACCAACACTGTTAACGTCAATGGGAATTCCATGGTAGCTAAATTTCCATGTTCTGTGCTGATTGCTGAAATTACAGAATTATTTTTGTCTGTATTCATTTTTTTCCTAAGCATTCGAGGCGAAAAGACTGATCAACTACAGGAATAGAATTCTCGTCCATGAAATGATACAGACAGACAAACAGCAGGTATCCTGCTTGGATCCTGACCTGCAACTTCTGCAGTCTGGACTTAAACAGGTCTCTTTTATGAGAGCAAATAATATCTTACTGTCAGTTATTTCTGGGTGCAATTTAGCTCCTTTAGACATTAAATTACCTGCTTTGGTAGCATAAATTATTTAAATTGTTCATGCAGCCAGAATTATTTGCAACTCGAAGGCCCAGTTAGGCTGAAAATTTGGTTCATTAGGCTCATTTCTGATCTAAACCAGACAGGTATCCATTACTGTGTGACTTGAAAATAATGATTTAAATGCAAACTTCTTTGAAGCTATATGTATTACAGACCTCACGGAAAAGCTATGAAGATTAATTATTCAGGGTTTTCAAAAGCACCTTCCAGAGTTCAGCACTCAGCTACCCATTGAAAGTCCTTATATTTCTATTGGCTAATGGGGATTTGCTTTTCTTTTCTTTTTTTGAATTGGGCCTGATCTCTCTTAGCTGCTTTTAAAAATCTCTCCCCTAATGTTTGTACATCATTTTGAAACTATAAAGCATTGTTATAGAAAGTTTCTTCAAGTCTTCCAATGCTTTTTTTTAAACTTTCATAAAATATTTTCTTACCTATAATGGTCACACTTTATATTAAGGTTACCTTTATAAATAGTTAATAACGGGTTAATGAACGATGAATGGATATTTCAATAAATGACTGATCAATTGTTAAATACTGTTACATAATCCAACAGGGCAATAGCTTGCTTATCACTTTGGCTTATAACCATCCATAACATTTTCTACTGATGTCTAACACATATTGCTCATGTTTGTAACACGCTTATAATATCTGTTGATTATTCATAAACCATTTATAAATGAAACCTTCATGTAAAGTGAAACCACCCTACCTTTTGGTTTTTCTAGGTAAATTTAATAAGTAGTGCTTCTAACTAGATGGAAGCCCACTGTATGTACAATAAAGATGCTCATTTAGAAGTAATTTTTGCACGGCTTCTGGGATTACCATGGGAATCGAATAAAAAAAGAACGCAAAACAGAGCAGCGCTCACATTTTGGCAAAGTCAAATGAAACTAAACCCAGAAAAATTTCCATTCTAAACTTAGAACCCTTGATTTTCAAGTGGATTTGTATAGCTATAATTTAATAGCCTTTTGATAGCTATGACTTGAAGCTGTGCACGCATTAACTCTGTCACCTAAAGCATATGGGACCTAATCCACAGGACACTAGTCCTGTACTAGAAAAATTCAGTGGTGGTCAGACTGACCTTTATCAATCCGGTGGGAAGTTTAATTGGGAAAGGGAGACTAATTTTCAGGAAACCTTTTGGTTCTGTAAAGTTAAAATGGTAAGCCTCTTTCATGTAACAATTAATATTGCAATCAACTGGCTAGTATATCTATGGGTGTACCTCTGCCATTTACTCAGTGGAGTCAGGGCTGTTCAGCTGTGTCTCATAGCCCCTACACTGCTATGAGCTATTGGAGATTCTATTTTATTTCACAGGATAGGGGATTCTGCTTTTGAAGCAGAGGGACATAAGTTCTGTTCTCACTGCCACAGGAAATTCTGAGTGGCCATGGTGTGCCAGCATAGCAGCACCTGTTACCACCAAGAAATAATAGTTTCTAAGTGACACTGGACTAGTTCAAGAATTAACTTTGCTTGGAATACCAGACAGTCAGCCTCTCTTTTTCTAATATGATGTGACCCTCTCGTTTTTAAGAACAAATCTGCAATTTACTTCCTTCTTATAGCCCATTCAACCCAACACAATTAATCTAAGCATCACTTAAAGACGATCAAAACTTTAGCAAATTGCACTGATTTTCCTAAGATTTAACTTTGTCTGACTGGAATTATTGGTCTGCTTGTCAGGTTTCTGATATAACCATTTGCCCAGGAGACATGATAGCCACACCTGGCAATGTAAGTGAATTTGGCTATGTGCAGGTGGGCCTGGACAGTATTGTGTTAACTTGTGCATAGGTATATACTAGAATATGATGTGGCTGATCACAAGAGCTTGCCACAAGTTGCCCAAACCCTTGTGCTTGTTCCATTTCACTCAGCTCACCCGTCTAATAGCAGAGTTACTCCTTTAGCTTATTATGTGGGGCCTGTGTTTTTGGTGTATTTTGTTGCATTAGATGGTTGGCTGGTAGAGATGGGAGCATTAATTCAAACCCTAAAGCTACACAGCCCGTTCGGATAAAAGGTTCACAAATCCGAATCTAGGGTTAGATCTGATCCAAGTCCCACTTTTCCTCTGACCATAGCTTTGGTTTGCTGCCTGCATGCAGCCATGGTTGAATACATATTACCCCTCAACAGCTGGGCTGAATGCCTGTATTAAGCATTCATTTAACCAAGAGGATTTATGCCACAAATTGGTTTGTATGTACACACCTCCTGTCAGAACATGACTGACTAACAGAGCCAGTCACCTCCTGAGCACTTCTTTGTGGCCAGAGGTCACTCTCTGGTGTCTGGCTACCAACTTCTCCCCTATTCAGGCCCGTTAATAACTCACCATTGACAGGTAATTACAGCATTCCCCTTCTGGGGTCCCATTTATTGAGTTCTTACATATTGGACCTTCTGGTCCCAACATTAATTCAGTCACACTCTGCTAGTCAGGGTCTCTAGTAGGAACTAAGCCTCATACTCCCAGGCTTTACCTGACTGAACCTCAGCCCTCTGGTTCTGGCTTCCAGGTCCAAACCCTTCTCTCAATCAGGATCCCTATTAGGAGCCTCCGGATTACTGCTTCTCCTCTCTGTCATAGCTCCCTTAGATTCAGAGTCTTCCTTGCAGAAACCTTTCACTCACTGCCATTCCCTCTACTCCTACTCCTCTTTCTACTTCATTTTGCCCTCTTGCTGCTCTTTATAGGGCAGTCACCCTAATCTCTCCCAGGAGTGGCTCATTCTGTAATCAGGGTTGGCTAGCTCCAGCCCTTAAGAGGCAAACCATCCTATTACACTGGCCTATTCAGACCCAACCATTTTCTCGGCTGCCCTCTAGTCTGGTTTTGGAACTGGGAATCCTGAATTTAAATCATCTTGTTTTCTGTTAATTCTTCAGTTGTGTTATCTGCGGCTAGAGATTGGTAAAGACACCAGTTAAAAAATGACAGGAAATACAGATAATTCAGTCACAGAATAAGCAAATTGCACTAAAGTCTTTTGTGGCCCTTGTACCTTGGACTTGAGCTTGCCCTTTGGGATATCAGCAACCTCTCTAATAAAACAGCTGCAAATTGAGGAAAAACTGGAATAACAGTGGCTAAGAAATCAATCAATTATCTGTGGCCTGCAGAATTCATGCAGGTTGCTCTATGCCTCTCCTTCATCCATTAGCAGCCCTCACTCATCATGGTCCAGGCATTTGCTCACCTCTTGATATGGCTCAATAACTTTTTACCTTTTTTCAGTGGTAAAAATGGGATTTGGCTATGAAGCTAAATGTAAGATTGCCCTCTTATTTGTTTTTAACAATAAGATTTGCCTCGATTTTAGCATTCTAGCCTTTGTCATTATTATTATTATTATTATTTATTATTTTATGTATTTGTGTGATGACCTTGCTGAAAGGACTCAATAGGTATCGAGGCCCCATTGTGCTGGGCATTATACACACACCTAACAAAAAGATGATCCTTGTCCCTTGCTGTAGCTCACGAAAGCTTATGCTCAAATAAATTGGTTAGTCTCTAAGATGCCACAAGTACTCCTTTTCTTTTTGCGAATACAGACTAACACGGCTGTTACTCTGAAACTTGTCCCCTAAGAGCACTGAACAGTGTTTTCCAAGGTGCCATCCTAATCTAGGTAAGGCATTATCATTATTTTGTTATTTAATATAGGGACACTAAATTGGGTCTCCTGGACACCCTGGTTTAATTAATCAGAATTCAGAATGAGTTCTATAAATAGCCACCTTGCTCCCTGAGTGCTATATTCCCTATTGATTCCATTATTTTCATTCCTCTTTCTTTTATCACCTCTTGGATTACTACTCCCCCCCTCAAAAAATATCCCTTTTCACTCAAAACTGCCTTGCTCCTCATTAACGTCTCAGCTCAGTGCCACCAAGAGAAACAATGTTGAGCTCTTCAACTTTAGCATGGCATCTCTGCATGGAGAAAAGGACGAAGCACAATATGAGTTGCCTAAGCTTGACATTTATAGGCTGAAGAAGTGCTGTGGCTTCCCAGGTTACACTGCATCTGAATCTATGCCGTACCGAAGTTACAAAAATGCGTAGACATTATTCACAAGAGGCAAGGCTGATGCTTTAAAATAACCCCAAAGTTACTGGCAGAATGAAGCCTATTTGTTCCAACAAAAATGAGACTGCTAAACACATTCGTGTTATGGTGAATTTAGAGACCATGCGTTAAGGTCGCAGAGGTCTCTCTCATGTCCTAAATCCATGCTGAAACACATTCTCCCTTCCTTTGACTTCATTCGGGTCTCAGTATGTTGTTTCCCTAGTGACTTGGCTGGAAAACGTATGGTTGCTAGAAATGCTGTTGGACTTCCTGGTGAAGCTGGGTCTCTTTTTCTTCTTCCTCCACGGCAGGCACAGGAATATGAGCGTGGAGAGGAAGATCTGGCGGAAGTTTGCAGACACCAGGTTGTAGAGGATGGGATTGATAGCAGAACTGACGTAGAAGAGGACATTTGTCAACATGTAGAAATAGTGGTAGAAGTTATAAAGGAACCTGATGGAACAGAACAAGAAAAGAGGAAATTTGAGTGCGGGAGGAGAGTATGAATAACTTACAATTGCAGGGTTAGAGAAAATGGAAGCCAGATTTTCAGCGGATGGGGATTACCATACTGGATATCACCTGTGGGCCATCTAGTCCAACAGTGGCCAGCACCAAATACTTCAGAGGAACGTTAAAATCCGTCAAAAATCCTAACAGTAGATAGATGTGGGATAATCACCCCCTCACAAACATCTCAACCTAATCCCCTAATACTTAGAAATTGTTTTAAACCTTGAAGCATGTGATTTTTATATCCCACCACGATTTGCCTTGTCTATAGACACACCTGAAATTAAAAAGGCTAGACTGAAACGTTGCCCTACATGATGCACAAATATATGCATGTTTACCACAAAGGCTGCTTAAGTGGGGTTGTCTACACTGCAGTATCTATGGCAGAGCTAAGACATCATAATATATGCTGTCACCTCCTCTCTCAAGCCAGTGAGAACTGCATTGATGCATTGAATCAGTCTCTGTGGTAGAACGAATATATATTTTGAGGAGATATCCATTTTATGGTTGACAATAACAGGATTTTTCAGTGAATTCTGGACATGAAAGATACAAAATAGAGTTTGAGGGTTACAAAATAGAGCTGGTTGAAATTTTTCAGTCCCAAGTGTTTTTTCAATGAAAAATGGCCTTTTTTGGAAACAAACATTTTTGTGTGTCATTAGAAGATTTCCAGATTTTCAGTGAAAGGCTCCAAATCTTTCAGCTTTCAAAACTGAAGAAATGTTTGCTTTTTGCTTGTTTTTCAGTTTTCAACTACTGGAAAATATTCAGTTTTTGATTGTTTTCAGATTTTGAAAACCAGAACATTTTTAGTTTTTCCACTGAAAAGCTAGAAAATTTCCATGAGTGTTTTTTTGGGGGTGGGACGGGAGGAGGAGGGGAGAGTTTTGTTTCTTTCAAAAAATGTTTGCGGAAAATATTTAGTGTTTTCTGTCCACCTCTGTTAAAACAAAGTTCTACATAAGGGCCCTGATTCAAAGCCCATTGACGTCAACAGAATTATTCCTATTGACTTCAATGGACTTTGGATGTGGTTCTTGGGAACAACTTTGCTATCTGATGAGGAGCTTGTATCACTGTGATAACATATCTAGTGTTGGTCAATATTTTTTGCACAATTTGTTCATTTTTTTAATGGCCTTTTTCTGAAAATGAAACTTTTTGCTGAAAAATTGACATAGAATTTTTTTTTAATTTTTCCTCAGCATTTCTCATCAATATCCTCACAGACTTTTTTTAACAAATTCTTTTCAAAATCATTCTTGAAAAATTTCATTGACCAAACCCCCACTTTTCAGTCCCAGAGTAGGAAAGACAAGGTAATATCTTTTGAGGGAGTAACTTCTGTTGGTGGAAGAGACAAGCTTTCCAGCTGCACAGACCTGAAGATGAGCTCTGTGCAGCTTGAAAGCTTGTCACTTTCACCAACAGACGGTATGTTAAAAGAGATTACCTCAGCAAACTTCTTAGTGAAATTGTCGACCTGTTTTTCAACCAGATCTAACTATAACCCATACAGGAGTTCCATCCTGTTCCCATTTTAGTCAACTGCAAAACTTCCATTGCTTATAGGTATGTAGGAACCAGACTATGGCCAGGAACTCATCAGCTTGATAATAAACAGGTGGTTTTAGTGTGATGTGCAAACACTGCAAGGGTAGAAGGCACGGCAATGTCTACAGACTGAAGAACTGTGTATAAGATACTGCACTGCCTTCTCTAATTACTTATGAGAGTTGTCATAGGTATATGCCAAACTTTGTACAGTCAGGACAGTTATTTTTAGTGGCCTGAGAGGTTGTGCACCATTCTAAGGCTGTCAACATGATAGCATGAATCCTGATTATAGGGTTTTGCTCTGTGCAAAAGGCTTTTAAGGGTTATGACACACAGACCTCCAGAGAAAACCACAGTCTATTGCAGAACCCACGTCAGTGTCTCTGATTTAATGGCTACAAAGTGCTAGGATATGGTGGCAGCTGAAGGCAGCCAGAGGTGCACTTGTTTGGGAACGTGCACATCTTCCAGACTGAAAGAGCTTGTCACTTAGTTCCTGATGGTGTTAATAATTATAAAGAAAATGTGAAATTCGAGTAGCTTGCAGTGCTGGTGCCCTTTGTTCTGGCCAAAGGAAGTACTGTGAAAGTAAGTATCCTTTCAAGCAGTTCCTTTCTAAAGATCAACAAATGTTAACTTTGGTCTATTCAGTCCTCTTAACACACTTTAATAGTTTCTTTACTATGGTTTATCCCTACAGAAATATACAAGATTTCTGACTCATACACACAGAAAATCTTCACAGGTTCCTCTTCACTAAGGCCACAATTTTCAAGTGACTAGCGATTTTAGGTGCCTTAATTTTTGACTGCCCAACCTGAGACATCGTAAAGGGACTGTCTCAAGGCAGGTACCCACAACCAAGTCTCTTCTGGAGAAATCTTGGTCTCTAAAATCATGAATGCTGTCCAGGATCATACTTCATATTGATTCCCTTTATAAAGAGAATAATAAATGATGAATAGATGTTTTAACAAATGGATAATCAATGGTTATAGATTGCCATAGAGTCCAGCAGGACAATACGTTGCTTATAACCCTCTATAACAAATACTACTCATGTCTATAATTTGCTTATCATTTATTAACCAGTTATAAACAGCAATTTAATATGAAGTGAGAGTCTCTGCTTTGTTTTTGTTTCCGTAAACATTAACTGAAAAAGGACCCTGGTTCATCTCAGACTAGGTTCCTCTTTAGAGCTGGTTTCAGGCTGCTACAGGAAAAAGGATGGATGTATTTAGACAAGCACCATTTGATCATTCCCACAATAAACTGAATCGCAAGATCATCTGAATTAAAGGCACAATCATCGTGCTGGGCGGATGCCGCCAGGGTGCAAGCCAGGTTAGAAGAATGCTGGGTGGTGTGTTCTGACAGGGTGGAGTGATTCTTGTGGAGCAGGGGAATAAGCTGATGAGAGACAGCATTTTCAGTAGGAAGGGTCCAGCCACTGGACTAAAATCCCTGGATTACTAGGTGTGAGCAGGTAGAATTCATAGGCATAAATGGCTACGTCACACTACGAGCGAGGGGGGTGAGCCCCTTGCTCATGTACACATGTTTGCACAAGCTCAGTGAGATCTAGGGTGGGTGTAAATAGCTGCGTAGCTCAGCAGAGCGAGCACATACCTCCCAGGTTCAGAAGGGTTTGTACTCAGCACAGCTCCCTCGCGCCTCTGCTGTCACAACCAGGGCCACCGCAGCTACGCTGCTATTTATACTCACGCTAGCTCTCAGCGAGGTAGCATGAGCAGGGGAACCAAACCCCTAGCTCATAGTGTAGGTGTAGTCTAGGTAGTAGGGTACTCATTTGCAGAGGTACAGAGAGCTCCACTGATCTTAATGGGCAGTACAGATGCTCAGCATGCTTGAAAATCAGACCTTGTGCTCTTCTGCCTGATCACAGATAGACCTGTGATGTTTTAGCAACCCCAAAACACAGACCTTAAACCCTGTGTGGTAAGAATTGGTGGCCCGTTCCAATCATTACAAATACATCGTTGGTCTGTAGCTATGAGGTATTAATTCAAAAGAACAAGATTTCTCTTGTTCAGACATGGGCATATTTGTGAATGAACTTATGTCAAACCACCATAAGCAATTAATTAATCAGCAATATTGGTAGCTCACCATTCATAATATATCTGTAATTGCAGGACTTCCTTAAAATTAATCATCTCTTTTAAAAAATGTTAAACTGCAAATGGAACACATCAATCTATGTTAACTGCAGACAAAGTTGTCTATTCCTTTTGCTCAGAGCAAATGTTATTGTTACATAACTGCTTGCTGCTTTAAGTGCTTTTCTTATAGTAAAGTAAACAAGAAATAACAGTTTGCTCCAATGCATGCCTACGAGTCTATTTTCTCTATTAAATCTAAAATCCGGTTGTTACCATGGCAGGATATACAATTTGTTTTGGTGGACTGCTCTACTGGAAATCACTGTTTCTTGTGCTTGGAATTTATGACATTTTAATAATATCTTAGTTTAGCTGCATTTTAGCATTGTAGAAATGTCCTCCGCTCCCCTCCTCTCCTATTCACTGCGGGAAACAGAACTCTTTTCAGAGAAGGAGGATGTAATATTGTAAAAGAACTATCTGAGTAATGGTTAGATCCTTCGCTGAACACATCTCCTGTCATCTTCACCTCAAGGAATCTGGGGCTAGATTTTCAAAAACTTTAGGTGCACAATTGCATGTGCAAAACGTATGCTCTATTATGTACCTGTTCTGCACATGCAGTTGCCATGACTATGGAAAAAACTGGATAATTGCATGAGCATATAGCTAATAGGATGTATTTGCATGTGCTATTGTCATCTTTTATGTGAGCAACATCAATACATGTGCATATAAACTAGGTGTGCAATTACAAGCATAACTGCCCACCTAAACTGTCTGAAAATCAGGCCACTGGCCCCTGCAAATGGATGATGATTCCTATATGTTAATTCTGTCCTTTCACTGCTAAACTTAGCAATTAACCTACTCCACTCTTCTCATAGACTTTAAGGCTAGCGGGGACCATCTTGATCATCTAGTCTGACCTCCTGCACACTGCAGGCCACAGAACCTCACCCACCCACTCTGGAGTAGGCCTATAACCTTTCGCTAAGTTACCAAAGTCCTCAAATAATGATTTAAAGACTTCAAGTTACAGAGAATCCACCGCTTACACTCATTAAAACCAGCAAATGATTCGTGCCCCACGCTGCAGAGGAAGGTGAAACACCCCTATGATTTCTTCCAATCTGACCTAGGGGAAATTACCTTCCCAACACCAAATATGGCAATCAGTTAGACCCTGAGCATGTGGGCAAGACCCAGCAGCTGAACACCTGGGAAATAATTCTCTATAGTAATTCAGAACCCTCCCCTCTAGTGTCCCATCTCTAGCTATTTGCTAATATTTGCTAATAGCAGTCACAGATTGCCTACAATGGCCTGTGACCCATCTCATCAAAACATTCCCTCCATAAACTTATCAAGCTTAGTCTTAAAACAAGTAATGTTTTTTGCGTCCTTTACTTCTCTTGGAAGGCTGTTACAGAATTATACTCCTCTGATGGTTAGAAGCCTTTGTCTAATGTCAAGCCTAAATTTATTGATGGCTAATTATATCCATTTGTTCTTGTGCCAACATTGGCCCTTAAATAACTATTCTCCCTTCTGGGTGTTTATCCCTCTGAGGTATTTATAGAGAGCTATCCTGTCTTCCCATAGCCTTCATTTTGTTAGGCCTAACAAGCCAAGCTCATTGAGTCTCCTCTCATAAGGTACGTTTTCTATTCCTCTAATCATCTTTAGTAGTCCTTCTCTGCACCTATTGCAGTTTCAGTTCATCTTTCTTAAACATGGGAAACCAGAATTGCACGAAGTATTCCAGATGAGGTTTCTCCTTGTATAATGGCTTCCTTATCTCTATAGGAACTACCTTACGTGATGCATCCTAAAATAGCATTAGCCTTTTTCACAGCTGCATTGCATTGTCAGCTCATAGTTATGCTGTGATTGACCAATACACTCAGGTCTTTCCTCTCCTCTGTGGCTTCCAAATTCTTGTTGTTAGTCCCTAAGTACATGACCTTGAATTTTGCACTGTTAAATTTCAGCCCATTTCTATTACTTCAGTTTCCAAGGTCATCCAAATTTACTTGTATGATATTCCAGTCCTCCTCCGTATTGCAATACCTTGCAATTTTGTGTTATCTGCAAATTTTATTCGCATTCTCCCACTTTTTTGCACCAACTTCATAAATGGAAATGTTATATAAGATTGGTCCCAAGACCATTCCTTGAGGAATTCCACCAGTAACCTCCCTCCAGCCCAACATTTTACCTTTCAGCATGACCCATTGTAGTCTCCCCTTTAACCAGTTCCTTACTCACCTTTCAATTGTCATATTAATCCCCATCTTCTCCAATTTAACTAATAATTTCCATGTGGAACTGTGTCATGCTTTACTGAAATCCAGGTAGATTAGATCTACTGCATTTCCTTTATTTAGAAAATTGGTTATCTTCTCAAAGAAAGAGATCAGGTTGGTACCTTTTCTAAAACCAAGATGCATTTGTATGTTGAAATGATGCAGCTATTTTTCTGTCTGTGGATTCTCTCCTATCACCTGGAAAATGTAGCTTTTTGGAACTAAATTGTGTTTTGACATGAGATGCTCCACCTTACACCTAATGTCTCTGGGTCTTAGATGCATACCAACAATCCACTTAGGATGGATAAAAAATGATCCAACCAAGGATTTTTTAGGGACTGGCAGAGGTGAAAACTGGTCACTGTACTAGTAACAGGTGGTAATTTTGTGATTGCCAACATGAGATAATCGGATGCTGTTTGAATGCAAGCTAATGTTTCCCAGCACATACATCTTTGGGATCCAGCTGTTAAAACCTGTAATAAAAAAATCAAGCTGAAGACAATTTTGAGACCTTCTTAAGTTCTTATTTTCCCTGTAAAACTTCAGGGCCAGATTCTGATCTCCTTATTAAATATCACCATACCCACTACTGACCCCAAAGGTGCTAGTAGTTGAATAACATGGTACTCAGGTGAAGTAAGGGGAGCACAGTCTGGCCCCTAGACCTCTGCAGTGACATGGTACAATTGCATTCTACTTCAAAATAATGACTCACTCTGTCCAGTGATCTGCTGGAACATAGCAAAACATGAGACGCCGAACATGATAAGGAAGCCAGCAGACCACGAAGGCAATCACAACAGCACCTGCAAGGTACAAACATTTCCATTATTTTTTTACTGGAAATAAAAAAGCGATCAGTTTTTGTGAACGTTTAACACTGTGTTCGTTTAAAAGCACCAGAAAGGTCCTATGTGCCATTGTGCTATTAACAGCCCCAGAGGGATAACCGTGGCTTTTATCTTTTATGATGGAACAAGGGTAATGGAAATAATGGAAATTGGTTACAACCCATGGGGGAGTAGCAGGGTATAAATAGAAGAAAAGAGGTCTAATGCATGAGAAGGCAGTAAAGGAAGCCTCACATTGTCTAGTTCAGACTCTACATCAAGCAAAATCTGTCTCCACGTTGACTGTATTTATATTTTATCTAACAGAAATAACCCATAGCACTTTTTTCATCCAGCGGCACATAGAATAAGGAATACCACAACCTCAGTAGTGCATAGCACATACCTGTGTCCCATGTGTATAAAGCCATTGAATTATCAGGAGTCCCATTGTGTTACTGATCATCAAATGATTTCTAAGGATGATTTAGCTCTTTGGGGCAGGACCCATCTTTTTGTTCTGGTTGGACAGCACCTAGGGGTCCTGGTGCATGACCACAATCCAAATAATACATAATAATACTACTGATAAAATCAATAATCAGGTGTATCTCTCAATGGTAATGTTTTATTCCTGAGGGACATCTTTTCAGCAGGAGTTTGCAATACACCAGTCACCACACACTCCATTAGATTTGTCAAAGTAGAAACGGTGACAGTTCTGCTGGAAACCTTGTGACATGAATGCAGTGGCATAGGTGGAGTCTCTTTCTGATGAGCACAAAAGTCCATTTTAAGATGTGATCTTTCAATATGTTATTGTAGCAGGAATAAAATTTTTATTCCAGATCCACTGATTGACTGAGGGAGTTCTATGGGTGTAACCCTAACAGCATCCTAATGCAAGAGGCTCATTGGTATCTGGTAGGGAGTTTCAGCTGGCCTGACCAGTTCAGTGTACCTCAATTAATTAATGTCAAACTGTATCTGGTGTGTCATATAAATGACCATTGGAAAACTAATCACACTGATCATTAATATTCTTGCATGGTGTATGTACAGTAAATGCCCAAGGGACCATACAAAGGAAGGAAGGAAATGTGGAACTAAAACATGTTTATCAGACAAGTCTGGGGAGTGGGGAAACAGGTTTCTCCCAGACAAAGGACAAGCCTATTCCTCCAGCCAGGTGTCATCAGAGTCAATTAACAATCACATGGCAAGTGGCCATTTATTTGCATCTAGAGGGCAGGAACAGATCAATTTACATTTTAGCAAACACCAGCGTGGAAAGAAACCAGCACAGAACTTCCTTCCCCACCAGACTCCATGTCTCCTTCCTCATAGCTGGAATGACGTTTATTTTGGGTGGGAACCTTCAGAAGAATTTATTTCAAAGGTTCACTGAACTATACAAGAGAGAGACAAAGAACCCCAAGTTGTCCTTCACCTTGGAAGACAAGGGGAACCAGCACCCTGTACTTCTGTGGAAGGTCCTAATTCAGACACTGTCAGCCAGGCTGGACAAAGAGTGATTGGTGAGAGAAACCATCGTAAATAAAGGCTGTACCTTGCTAGATTAAGTTTTAGATTTTGATGCATGTTCTTCACTTTTATTTGCTTGTAACCACCTCAACCTTTATTTCTTTTACTTGGCATCACTTAACCTATGTCCTGTTGTTAATAAACTTGCTTTGTTTTAATTGAAACTAATCCAGTGCTGTATTTGAATTGAAGTGATTATTAATCCAGTTAATGAGGCAAGCTGCTGGGTACTGACTCTTTGAAAAGCAAACAAATTATTATTCCTCTGAATGGCTCAAGAATGGGCTGGACATTGCAGAGCACACAGTTTGGGGGAACTCTGGGTTTGGGGTTTTATTGGAGTCACTTGGCTAGTAGTAACCATTGCTGGTAGATACCAGAGTGGGGCTGGGGTGTAACAAGCAGGCTGCAGGAATAAGAGCACTGAGTCAGAGCTGCTAAACACACAAACACTCAGTGCTCACTTATTTTCTGGCTGTCAGCATCCAGGCTGTGAGCCACAGCAGCAGAACATTTAAGGCACCCAGAGTCACGGGGCAGGCAGTGACACAACTTCTCACTGGTCTGGATCGCACCCAAAATGCGACAACAGTATATTACATTTGTCTGATATTCAAGAAAATGCCTCTAGCTAAAAGGGAAATCCTAACATGGAGTTTAGAACCTCTCTAGCAACATCTCTACTGATGAGAATGAAAGTATGTGTGAAAAGCCGGGGGCTCTCTACAATCAGAATGCATTTCATTATACGGTGATCTAGGGACAATTCCCAGACAAACCAAAAAAATTTCCATCAAGAGACACAATTAAGGCTACAAAGTACTTTAAAAACAAGTTTAATAGCATTTTAGGGCCTAGGTCTCCCCTCACTTTAACTGAATTACTCCTGATTTACACTGGTAAGTGGGACTAGAATCATGTCCTTGGAAGTTTTCCAAAATAAAGCAATCAGACCTTCCTGAAATTCATGAAAATTGCAATTCAGATTCCACCAGTAGCCCTGACTGTGTTCCCCAAGTCAGTTAAAAATGCTTCCATTTAGACCTGATCCAAATCCCACTGAAATCAATGGGAGTCTTTTAATTGACTTTGATGGGGTTTGGATCAAGCCCTTTATCACATGTCTGAAATTATTTCTTGACATCAACCCAGGACCTCGGTAGCTTGGTATTTTGTTTTATGAGGCACAGAGTTATGGCTGTTAGTCAGTCAGTCCGTGTTGACTGCACAAGTGCTGAAAATGACACGTTTCCTATCAGTCCCCAAAAACGTTCTTTCTTCCTACAACTTGTTTCAAGCATATGACAGGAAAAATAAACGGAGAAACTCCTTCATGCCAGGAGGATGCAGCAGTGACTAATTCCTTTGGTCTAGCACAGTTAGTTCTCCTGCTGCTTTGAAGAGTCTTCCAAAGTGGAGTTGGTCTGTCTGCAAGATGCTAATAAAGTTCTAAGGTTAACCGGCTCAGTTTTGATTCATTTGGTTGTAGTCAGAGAACCATGATCATTCTAGTGAGTCTAACCTATAAACAAGGGTAACATAAGTGTAGCTTGTGACACCCAAAAGCTTATGCCTAAATAAATTTTTTAGTCTCTAAGGTGCCACAAGTCCTCCTCGGGTTTTTTTGCTGATACAGACTAACACGGCTACCACTCTGATAAGTGTAGCTGTTAACTGAGCAACTTTTATATATTGAACAATAGGCTCTCACAGAGTGAATAGATAAAGCTGCAGGAGGGACCAGGAAACCAAAGTGGCTGGGACTGCTGGAGTTCTTGAGGGTATTTCCTCATTGAACCAACATTCTCTCCTCTAGGAGCTGAGACTGCTCCAATGGAAGCCAATGGGGAAACCCATTGACTCATCCAGAGTAGCATCAGGCCCACAAGAGCTATGGCTCAGATATCGTTGCAGTTGTATCTGGGCTATCTACAGTTCTGTCAGAAATACAGCTTATGTCTGAGGGTTTTTTCGAAGATACCTTATGGATTTAAATGCTCAACTCTCATTCATTTTAATCTCAGGCTAAATGTCAATCGTTAGGCTCTACAGTCATGACATGGCGGTGAGGGAGGCACCTACCTTTAAATGTTCTGAGCAATTGATTCAACACAGTTTAACCACTTCCAAACATCACCCTCTCCAGGCATTGAGACTTCCACAGTAGCTTCTCCTCCCCTCCCTGGTGCCAGCAATTCTCTCCAGTACTCCTCCCAGCCTCAAATCCTCAGACAGCTTTGGAATGGAATAAGAATCACATTGCATTCTACACCTAGGAGATAACCTCTGTAATGACCAATGATAATCTTTCCCCACCAACTGCTGAGGGATAATTCAGAGGGCCTGATCCTGTCACGTGATGGGTGCCCTCCATACACCTTTTTGAGGAACCTCATCAGATGAGACACAAAAGTCAGAGGTGGAAGCTGGTAGAGCAGCTGCAGAAGCAGCTGTAGCAGGGACTGATGGATGCTGATGATTGACTGGAAATTGTCTCCCCTCTGCTGTGTGCTCCAACCCCCCTCCTTCCCAGTCTCCTCACCTCAGCCTCATTCCACACCTGCCTCTCTTATCCTCTTTCTTCCTGCCTTGGCCCTGCCACCTCCCTCTCTTCAATGCTTCCCTCCCTTCCTTTGTCTTTCCATCTACTAATCCCCAGCCCCCCGAATCATGGTACATGACATCTCTCAGTTCACTCTGCTTGTGTGTTCTTCCCCCTCTCCCCTTAATGTCTGTCCTGCCTATTTAGATTGTAAGCTCTTCAGGGCAGGGATTGATTCCTACTCTGTGTTGGGGCAGTGCCTGTCACAATGGGACCCCGATGTTGGTTATGCTCTAGTCACTAGCATAATAAACATGATTAATAATTTTAAAAAGTGAGCAGGGAAAGAGCTTCTTTTCCTTTCGAGGTTTTAGCCAAGACACAATGGAAAATAACATGCAACATTAACGAATCATGGACGATAAAGCCCAGTTGGTGGGTGGCTTTGTTAATCTAGATTATTTTAAAATCAGGGAATCAAGGGAAAGATTCTTTTCTTACAATGCATATTTCCAGCGCTGTAAGAAATGATAGGTGTCTGGCAGAATCCCAGCAGGAAACCTCAGTCAAAACAGCATAAAATAACAGCCATGGAGAAAAATCAGAGCTAAATATAGCCATCATATTGCTTTTCATCCCAAATGTGCTTTACAGATGGTAAGGGCCAAATTGTTCCTGGCCTTTATGTGGGCTCCTATGGGGATGGTAGACAGGAAAGATCCCTTTGAGGCCTATATAACAGCCAACTGCAGTCTGCAGCCTCTGTATTCAGGGAGGCACCCCTTTTCCCTGGGTGTGAACAGTGCCCCCAAAGAGTGGGGACTTGTCCCCAACCCTTTCCTCTTCACCAACAGGGCTGGTGCACAGAGGGGAATATGATGTGCCTTAT